CACACACACACACACACACACACACACACACACACAAACGCACGTTTGTTCTTGAATGGGGACCTTCCATTGACTTCCGTTCATTTTTTTTAGACTTTATAGCCTAACCCTGACCATATACCCAAAAAATTAACCTCACAGGCGCCTACCTGACCCTAAAACTAACCTAAACCTTGGTCCTAAACCTAACCCCACACCTATAATTTGCATTTGGACCCGTGGGAACCTGGCATTGTTCCCCACGATTCACTTCAGTCCCCATGAGGATGCTTTTTATCATGCAGCTGTGACACTCAAAATCTGACATTTTCTGCCTTATTGTATTGATGAGTGCAATAGAAATGACCAATTTAAAGTCTAAATAAATTTAAACTGTTTTTGACCACAAATAATTTGCAAAAACACCTAAATGTTGATTGAATGGCTCTGTTTCTCTTCCAGTTATCCCACACTCAAAGTCTTGTCAGAGAGGAGGCCAGATGTCCCCATATATGTTGGTGACACATCCAGACCAGTCTTTTGGTTTGTGGTTATACAAAACTTCACTTATTACTACAACAAATCATATTATTTTATTTTATTTTTTTGCAAAAAGGCAGAGTGAATGCTGAGTGCTGAATGTCTCGTAGAAATTTGCTGATGAAGCTGAAACTGAAATGTTAACGCTAAAGATGCATAACACTAGCTAAAAGCTAAAGAGGCGTAACACTAGCTAAAAGAACAGAATGCAGGCTAAAGACAAAATGTGTAAAATACTAGCTAAAAACTAAAGAAATTTATGCACTAGCTAAAAGTAGTAAAACACCAGAAAAATATGAATGTAGCTAAAATAGCAAAAAAGCTAAAGAAAATCCCAAAGTAGTAAAATTATAGATTAAAACAGTATTAGGTTAGGTACAAGCTAAAAAGTTAAAAGTAAGAAAATGCTTGCTCAAATCTAAAGACCAGCTAAAAGTATTAAAATAGTAGGCTAGAAGCAAAAAGTAGAACCCCTAGTGGTAACACTTTATAATAACTACACCTTATTTAGCCATAATTAATCATTAATAAAGGGTTACTTAACCTTGAAAACATCATTAATTAAGGATGATTCAGACTTAAAAAGCTATGAAATAACACATTTATTAATGTTTTACCTATAAAGGGTAATTACTTCTAAAACCAACATACGCATTGTTTACTCATGCTTAATAACTCACGAGTTAACTATTCTGTATACTGTATATATATTTTTAAAAATGGTAGTTTTACACCTTTCTTTAAACTTCCTTATGTTTGGACCTTCCTGGACATCCACAGGATTACTTAACCTTGAAAACATCATTAATTAAGGATGTTTCAGACTTAATAAGCTATGAATTAACACATGTATTAATGTTTTACCTATAAAGGGTAATTACTTCTAAAACCAACATACTCATTGTTTACTCATGCTTAATAACTCATGAGT